ATCGACAAAGACTTCAAACGTCAGAATAATAACATTCTATCGCAATGAGTACAACAAGGCTAGCCGGCGGTGCATAAGGAGCTAAACCTCACTTCTCCGCTGACACCATTAGTTAAGTCCCGTTAGATAATTATATACAACGACGTGGTAAATATCAAGAATCCTCGCTACAGACTGAGGAGCTCCTAATTAACCATCTTATGAACAGTTTGGATAGAAATGAGAGGGCGTTATCAGCTAGAATCCATTCACGAAAGTGAAATTGGTGTAATAATGAGACACGAAACAGTCTGTAACATTGGCTTTGATGGCAAATTCCCTTGCTAGGGTGATGTGTATTCCGAAAACTCAACTTTGGGGCGTATGGAGGTATCACAGTCACCTATACGCAACCTGAAAGAGTGAGAAAGTACTCTTGACTAATGAGAATATCTAAAGACTATAAATATAGCAAAGTGACAGTCTTCTACACGACGAAATTAGTGAATAAGTGGTAGCAGGTCAAGGAAAACAAATATATAAGAATCTTTAAACCAAATTTGGGTTTATTAAAGTCAGGGAAGATTAAAGATTGCAATTTATGGGCAGGAGTCATTAAATGAGAAAAGAGACCTAGAAAATTAAGAGGTAAAACAAGACGTAGGAAGCATTGTGATATAGGAAGAGACATTTGTAGTAAAAACTTGATTAGGTGATGATACTGGTAAGGTAATGATATGCAAGATGGTAGTTGGTAAGATAAGATATGCAAGATAGTACAAGCAAAAGATTGCATGGTCAAGATGGTATTAATCGTAGGAAATTAATTGCATTGATGTATAGGGCAAGGAAATGACCCGCAAGATTTTATTGGGCAAGGTATGGAAATGCAAGGTGATACTGGACCAGGAAGGAATATGTAAGTATGTAATGCCAAAGAAACACTATGGAAGGTGGTACTGGGCATAAAATGGATAAGCAAAAATGTTCTCGGCAAGGAACATATATGCGAAATGGTACCAAACAAGAAAATGTAAATTAAAAATTATATTGGCAAGGAACGAATATGCAAGATAAGCGAGATAAAGACATACAAAAAAGTACGAGAGCAAAAAAACGACATGAAACATGGGACTTGGCAAGGAAGTGTACATGGAAAAGAATAAATGGGATCAAAGAAGAAACAAAGGATTTAAATAAATATTTACAATGTGTTAAAGTGACATTAAAAAGGTAAGAACGTGGAGTATAAGTTAGTATAGAAAGCATAGTCATAAACACGAAGAACCACTTTAACGAAGAAATACAATAACTTAAATGCCTGTAATCCGCAGTTATTGCGGAACAAGGTTGAAGGAAACTAATCAATGTTTATATTTGGGACCCCAGATAAGGACAGAATTGCAAATAAACAGAGAGGAAAGAACAGAGAGACGAGGAAGAACAGAGAGACGGGAAAGAACAGAGAAACAGGAAAATCCACGTGGCATCCTGTTAGGCTAAATATTGGGAAACCACTCAACGTGCCACTCAGTGAAAAGCATCTTGAAAAGTGGTGCTTGCACATTGAAGAGGTGCTTTCATATTTTCTTGATACCGTAATAAGACGTATATGTGTCAACACATAAACTTGCAAAAACATGAAATGAGGAAGTTCAATTTTTTTTTCTTCTCTCCGAGAATTAGGAAACATCAAACCAGGAGAACATAAACATTTGCATTCACTGGGCATATACACACACCGAGAGGCAT